TACGACTTACAAATCTATTAATAATATAAGTTAAAGTTGATAACAATTTGTTTGTAAATTGAAAATACACTAATAATGAACGTTTCATGAGCAATCACTTCTACGACGACACAAAATGAGTTTAAAATAGTAAAACTTGCGTAACCCCATCCGTCAATTACTACAGATTAAAACGTCAAAGGATAATGCATACATACAATAACTCTATTTGACATCCACATTGTTCAATCCTTAACCACTCCACATGTGTGTTTTTATTATCCCAATGAAGCCGATATTACTGATAACTTTCAGATACACTTTAATCATACATTTGCATGATTTTCCATGATTATTAAAAAAAGATTCCGGCATAACAATGCATTTCCCTATACACAAATATTAGTGGGGAGGGGGGCAATAAAAGTCAGATGAAATACAGTACATTTGTTTTGATAAAAAAAGGAATTAACCAGAGGCCCATGGTTTGTTACAAATATATCTGGACATTGACTCCAAAAGCGATTTGAGTGTCTGCCTGTAATTCTTTTTGATGATCATGTAGGCAAGGGTATTGTTCCAACATTGGGCAGTGGAGAGCCACGCGAAGGGGTAGATGTTATTTCCTGTTTTCCTGGAAAGGAACAAGTAGATTTGAAATCCTGCCGTCGGTAACCAGCCTGCAAAAAAGCAAATAGATACTACAAGGCAGACGTAGACTCCTTTCAGCTCATTTGCCTGTCGCTTTTGGCGCAATCGCTGAGGCATTGTGTTGTCAACGACACGTGTTGCGTCGAATCTTACTTGCAGGTCCCCAAAGCGACGCGCCTGAATCCTTGCTGTATGAGCAACACTGGCCTGCATACCAAGTACCAAGAGAGCTGTGGGGAACATCATGATGCTGTATACGAACACAACATAGGTGACCATGCTCCTTCTTTCAAAGTCCATCAGACACATACCAACACCGCGATAGAGCCGTAGATCGAAAGAAAGGTCGCAACTGACTACATAAAATTCTACCGTTGTTACAAGGTACATGAACGCAACCATCAGCAAACATTGCGTTATAGTCCGTCTTTTAGTCACCCATGAAGGATACTTGAACGGGTATTTGACAGCTAGGTAGCAATCGACTGCAAGAAAGAAAATCAACGCGTTTGAGATGCCCAGACTTGTCAACAACATATATGAACAGAAGAAACAAATTTCAATTCGGAACGGCCATCTGTTCAGAAACGACGCGGGAATGGATGGTAGTAAAGAAAGACCACTCATGAGATCAGATAAAGACAAAAACAGAAATAAAATCTTCCGGGATTCGCTTATGTTTGTGAGTTTTAAGAGTACGAGGATATTGAACACGTTTCCTACGACGGAAAATACACACGATATTAACATGTAAAATGAATGAATGTAACGCAAAATCACAAAGTCCAGTTCCACATCCTCTGGCGCCGTTGAGTTGATTTCAGGACATGCTCCCATGATTGCATAGGAAACTGATATAGAGACAGCTTCAGGCGATATTCTAGTAATACCTAACAGTCTCTGATCGCCTCACAAAATAAACGTTGTAGGGTGCAGGGAAACCATATAATAGGATTTAAATATGAATTCACGTTAACACGACAAAATTATAATGGCGCGGGAAATCTGTTGGTTACATCTACTTAAGTGCTTACTTGATGGTTTTCCGTATATCATGGAAAGTGAACCCTTCGAAACGGCAGTTGTCACGTCAAATGTCAAGGTAAAGCTTGAGTTTTACACGCGACCGGAGATGGTTCGCATACAAGTACTTTTCTAAGATCGTTGTACCGTTTTCGACTCTTAATCCTTGTCTGAACTCAGTTCCCCCTCTTTGACGTTTTCATTAAAGGGGCATGTTCCCCGTATTCCAGAGGGCGTTCAGAATACGTACCCGCTGGCGGACGGTGCTAGCTGCCTATTGACACCAACAGAATACGGCTCTTACGCAGATGGCATGTTCCGAATGCCCGCACAATGCCGATTATCGCATACATGTGCCGAAGTAATGCCAATCGCAGTTCGGCTCTAAGATTCGGCTGCTGTTTCCACCCACTTTCGTGACGTCACAATCGGACGCGCGTACTTTGATTGACAGCTGTATGCAAATAAGAAGTCGATCTTCGGAACCAAGATGGCGATGACTAGAGCAGCGATAACTACACTGGCGGTAACGTGCCCCTTTAAACTATTCGAGAAAGAAAAAAATTCGTTGAACCGTTCTCGACTCTTAATACTTGTCTGAATTCAGTTTACCCCTCTTTGACGTTTCATTAAACTAATAGATACAGAAAACGATTCGTTGTACCGTTCTCGACTCTTAATGCTTGTCTGAATTCAGTTTCCCCTCCCTCTTTAACGTCTTATTAACATTTGACATTTCCTTAAACTATTAGGAAAATGAAACGATTCGTTGAACCGTTCTTGACTCTAAAAGGGATCCGGTAACTTTGTCTTAGATCCTTTAGAAATAATCTTTGATTTAGCTCATGCTGCAATGATAATTATAAACCTTTAGGTCAGATATTAATGATTGGAATTACAAATTTTGAAAACCGTTCGCCGAACGGTTTTTCATAACACTACAGTCTATTGGGGAAAACGAGTATGGTAAAACCGGTCACTCAAAGATTTTTAATTTTTTGAGGCACTTCTTGATCATTTTGAAGCGCGATTTTTTTTAGGGCTTCAATATTACACTATATCACAGACACTGGTAACATGTAGGACCGTGTATCTCAGATTTAACATTGTTAAACGATCCCTTTAATCCTTGTCTGAATTCGGTTTCCCTCCTCTTTGACGTTTCATTAAACTATTAGAGAAAAAACACGATTTGTTGTACCGTTCTCGACTCTTAATGCTTGTCTGAACTTAGTTTCCCCTCTTTGACGTTTCATTAAACTGTTAGAGAAAGAAGACGATTCGTTAAACCATTCTCGACTCTTGATCC